TGCCGGTGGGAACGTGAAAGGGGGCCGCCACAGGCGAAAGCAGGCTGGCAGTTCTTCAGAAAGTTCAGCAGTTTCCATACGACCCATGGGGGGAATTTCATGGTATGTGAATTAAATCACAATAAAAAAAAAGGAGCAGCATTCAGATCTTAAGGGTGTTTGTGGAAAGCAATTAGGTATGTGCAGCTCCGCACCTCCTAGGAGCTGGATATAGGCAACTCCTCTCACGGTCACCCCCAGACGGCGCTGCACAGGGGTGGCCCGAGAGAGATGGCCTGGAATGGGCTGGGGGCAGGGCAGCCGTGAGGTGAGGGCACCGTGTCTTTGAGTTCCACTCCCTGCATGGGGCCCGGGCGCTAGGCAGGAGCTCCTCACACCCAGGCGATCACGTTCAAGCCTCAACAAGAAGGAGGAGGGGGCTTTTATACAAGAGCCCTCCAAGGCCCTCCATCAGCACAGATCACTCCAGAAAGATGGGTCAGAGAGGAGGGCTCTGGCTCGGAGTGGCCTGGTGCACAGGATGATCAACCAGCTCCGGATGACAGATGACAAGCAGGCCCCATCCGTTGTGGACGGTCTGGGGTCAGGCCCCCGGATGGCATCCCAGGAGCTCTGGGCCGTGTAGCACCGCCTGTTCCAGGCTCGCCCCCCTCGCCTTATCCCATCTCAAGCACCCTTCCCCCAACAGCCCAGGCCTCTTTGGGGGGCCAGGAGGGGTCGCCTAGGGGGCCGTGGGATCTTCAACACAGAAGGAGGAGCCACCAGCCCCACTTCCCTGCTGAGCAGACCTCGGCAGAGCAGCGCCGGAGGCTGGACCGTGAGAGCGGGGCTGGAGCCCAGGGCCAGCCAAGGCTGTTCTCTATGGACTGCGCTCCGTGCAGATGGTCAGGAGGCCCACTGGGCTCATTAACCATGAGTCCAGCCACGGCAGCTACCCCCTTGTATGGCCAAATGGCGAAAGAAGTTTAACAGTAGAGCAAAGGGCTGATATTTCCACGTTCAGACCCTTCCCACTCCAGCCTCCAGGGTGGGCACGGGAAGACAAATGGAAATCCAGACCCCCAGGGCGCCGCGCCACCCTGGGGCGCCTGTGCCACCCGGTGCCTCTGCCACTCGGGCGGTTGATCAAGGCTCGCGAGGGCTGGACACAAAGTCAGCATACTTCCAACCACCGGGTCGGTAAACATCTTCAAGGACCAGCTAAGGAGGTCACAGGCACCATCTCACTGATTCTTTGCAAGGACCCTGGGAAACGGGTGCCGCTAGGACCCCCCAGGCGGTGGAGAGAGGCCGGGGGCAGTCACAGCTGGTCAGGAGAAAGGCCACACTGTTGACTCAGCGGCCAGGTCTGGTCCACTGGGTCACGTCCCCTGTCTGTTCTCTGAGACAATGGCCCTGGAGTGACGAGATGACCAGGACTTGCTGGGGTGGGCCTCTTGATTGGGGCAGAGGTGGGGGGGGGGGGGTCACAGAGGTGCACAAAGGTAACGGCCACACGAGGTGATAAGCACTACGGTTGCAGACAAGGTACAAAGGGCAAGTGGGGGGAAGAATGCTCTGGACCATGGGGCAAGGCTTCCCAGCAGAGGGGAGGGAGGAT